TCTCTCTCTCTCTCTCTCTCTCTCTCTCTCTCTCTCTCTCTCTCTCTCTCTCTCTCTCTCTCTCTCTCTCTCTCTCTCTCTCTCCACACGCGTGCGCCCGCTACCCCCGCGCGCGCCCACTACCCCCGCGCGCGCCCACTACTTTGCTCTCTCTCTCTCTTTCTCACTCTCTCTCTCTCTCTCTCTCTCACTTTGCAAACTTCGGACTCCGGCTTTGCCAGAAGAAGAAGAAGAAGAAGAAGAAGAAGAAGAAACAAAGAACAACAAAGGAAGACTTACCTTTACCGATAGATGGCGGGCCAGGGCGATGGCGATCCTGCTGCTCGAAAGCAGCTGGAGGCGGGAGGCGGGGTGGTGGGGTCTGTGCCTGGGGAAGGTTTGGATTGCCGCCCAGAACTTCAGGTGGTTTCCTGCCCGAATGTTAAAAAACGGGCGGCCTATCTGGGCCGCAGATCTCACCAGATCGAAAGCACAGATAGGCCGCCAGTTTCTCAATAATCTGGTGGGCCTACCAGACCCAGTTGATTTTTTTTTGGGGCCGGGAGGCCTCCACGACCCGCATGGAGGCCTCCTGGCCCCAAAAAAAATTGTAACCCCGCCCCCCCCCCCAGCGAATTGCGCAAATTGCAACCGGGGGGGAACCGTGCTCTCCACCGGCCGGTACCACCGGTCCGGTTCCGGTGGGGGAAGGAGGCCCCGCCAGATATTCAGCCTTGTGTCATGCAGAATTGCAAACCAAACATCTTTTGCCTGAGGGTGACCATGAAACTCGCTCTGGAATCCGAAATAAAAAATAAAAATAAAATACTATATTATTCTAATATTTATTATACCCTTTTACGCCCCTTTACGCCCCTTCAAGCCTTTTCGAACCCCACTTAGACCGCATAGACACCCTTTGGTGAGATTATCACCAACCTCAAAGATAAGGCCGGGTCTGGGCATGTCTCAGTGTGTGCAAATTGCCCTTTCCAAAAAATAAAAGAAGGAAAAATTTGATCATCTTTTTCGTGTTGCCCGAGTACCCAGGGCGGGTCACCCGCCATGAAAGCTGGCTCGGGCTAGGCGACTCTGGTAACATAGTCCGGTAGCACTTCATCCAAACTGTTCGGAATGACTCGTTTTCGATTTTCAAGTTTGCTTGGGTGGTGTACTTGCGGTTTAAGAACTTGAGATCTCGCCGAAATCCAGGCCGTCGGGGTCTACCGCACTGATGGCCTAGATCAATGCAGCCTTAAAGATCTTAAGATCTTGCCAGAATCCAGGTCGTTGGGCCCCAGGGCATTTGCCTGGTACCTGGGGCCCAATGGCCCAGATGTAAGGCTATTTCAGGTATCTGGGTGCTGCGTTTGCATTGAGATCCGCTCTCGGTCCACCCCCAAACAACCTCCTGCTGCCGTGGCCCACTCATTCCACCACCGCCACCCGTTCTCACTTCACAGCCGCTACCTCAGGGTAGCGGGCGAGAGAGAGAGCACACCATTGCCAGAAGCCGTCCCTCTTCCCCTTCACGTGCCCTCCTTCCACTGCTGCCATGCTCCCCTCTGGTGCCACCCGGCTGCCTCCTGCTCTGGGGGAGAGAGAGAGAGAGGGAGAGAGAGAGAGAGAGAAGTTTGACACACAATCCTTTTGCCACTCCGCTCTCCCTATTTGCACCCGTCTTTCTGCTACAGCACCCTGGCCCCTGCCGTCCGCAGCCATCCACTGCCATCTGCTGTCATTCCACTGCTACCACCAACGTCGTCACAGCATTGCCGCCCTACACGTTCCTGCCGTCACATGGTTTGACACACACACACACACACACACACACGCACACACACACACACACACACAC